CCATATGAGTAAGGCTGGGTTTACTCAGATTATGCAGCTCTTTTCCAGTCCTTTTTTGAGAGCCTTCTAACCTAACCGGACTATTCATAAAGTTGAGCGGTAATGTATCAAACAGTGTTTCTTTGCTATTCATAAGATTTTCCCTGGCCAATTCTTTGAGAAGTGGACGGCCTCCTCCTTCTTCCTAGTCTGTCTCGGTTTGTAAGCTGGGCTGATACCTTTGCACCATGTGCATACCGCTGGGTTTGAATCAGCCGTGGCTCAGCCTCAAAACTCACATCAACACATCACCACGGTAGGACAAACCGACAGACAAGTTTGTCTCCCTGTTGGAAACCTCTCTTACCAACCTTTCCTGGATCCCTGTGGCTGACTCCTCCTCTGTCTAGATTCCTAGGCCTTTTAATCCCCTTTCTCCTGCTCTCCTGCCCTGCTACTTTGGGTGTGCCTAAGTTCCCTCTCCTCACCTGGATCCCTGTGGCTGACTGCTCCTCTGTCTGGGTTCCTGGCTTTTAATCCCCTTTTTCCTTTCCTGCACTGCTGCTTTGGGCATGCCTGAGTTCCTCTCCTCACCTGGATCCCTGCAGCTGACTATTATATTATTATATATTATTTCTAATATAGCAGCACTATATAATTAAGACAGGAATTAGAACATGCATCTCTGACTTATTAGAGTATGATATAAATGAATACTCTCACAATATTCCAAATATTGCAAAGCTTTAAACAGCTTTATTTACTTTATTCCCCAAATGCTTCTGTGTCATTATCATATTCTACATACATTTTATACATATTTACCCTCCTGGATGTCTAAGCTCCCATATATTATCTTCTATATGGGAAACACTGTATGCCATTTTTGTTGCCTGTGTCCCATAAGACTACCTAAAACTCATTTCATTTCTCAGCCCTCAGTCTGAAATACTAAAATACTGGCAAATACTGCAAGAGGGAAAGTAGTCTCAAACTTTTGGCTGTCTTTGTAGTTCTCTGGTAATTTCAACAATGAGTATTCTCTTATTCTAGTTGTCCCTAGTTGGAGATTTGGTCTTCAAGCAAAGGTAGAAATCTTATTTATAAGCTATTAACTCTGTCATAATTTTTATGACCTTATGAAGATAAAAGCTACAGTTTGTAATTAAGGTATAAATTTCTTAAGTGCTAATAAGAGACTTTTCAGCTTCTGCCTGATTTTTTAAAATAATTTACTCAATGAACCATATGCTATCAAACAGAAAAACTGTATGATCCTAAAAGAGAAGTATTTTTCAAAAATAACTTTTTAGAAGCAGCAGTTCCTACGAAGTTAAATGTTCTTTTACTTCACTAAGAATCAAAATAAGATGCAATAGTTTTAGACACATTGAATTTGATGTGCTGATGGATAGAAGTATGAAATATTTTATCTCAATCTCAGTACAGACATGTGTGTTAGAGACATAGATTTGGGAGTCAATTAGCATGACAGCAAGGGACTGAATAAGGCTATCCTTGAGGAATAATACTCTACTAATAAATACAGAATGCATGTAAGTAAATAATTAGAAGTCAGATGTATTATTAGAAACAGTATGAGGTAAAGAATATGGTCTTAAGGGGAAGTGTGAAGGCTTAAGAGATTATTCACTTGTATAGCATAAACTAAAGCAGTAGCTTTGACAGTATAAATGATTTTTATAATGTACATATAGAACAAGAGCTCAATATATGTCATGAGCTCCTCTTTGTTACAAACATAGACATCTGTTTGCAAAGATTCAACAGCAGATATTTTTAGGTATTATCAAAGTTAGTGAAAAATTAAAATAACTATTTATAAGCTAAGACTGATTAAAACTAATATGCATCATCAACAAATATGAACAAAATCATTATGATCTTAATAAAACATTCCATCACCTTTAACAAAGACAAATGAAAGTGTTGAACATCAAACTGGATTTTTCAAAATTCAAAGTAACAGAAGGTGTATATATCTTACATGTTTGTACTTTATGTTCCATATGTGGAATTAAGGCCATTCTAATAGATAAAATTTCACATAAATACATAAATTATAACTGTTAAAATTTAAAGATGTTGTTATTCAAAGTGCTAAAGTGATAATACATTTCTAAAGAAAGACAATGTGAATATGAAACTGACAGAATATGTGATGTAAATATACTATTGCACAGAAGACAATAAATGCTGTTTCACCAAATATACCAGTAAGATATTTGGACTGGAAAGTTTGAATGGCAAAGAAATACTTCTGAAATAGGACTATGTAATTATAAACATGCTACAAGGGGTCGCTATGAGTCGGGGCCGACTCGACGGCACATAACAACAACAACAACAACAAACATTATACATGAAACTACAGCTTTGTGTGTCAGAGCAGCACTATGTTTCATAAGGTTTTCAGTGGCTGATTTTGGGGAAGTAAATTGCCAGGCCTTTCTTCTGAAGCACCTCTGGATGGACCTGAACCACTGACACTACAATTAGCAGCCTACTGTATTAACTGCACCATCCAATGGTCCCAAACAATATAGTCCAATGTAATCAAATGAAGTAGGTAAAGGAGTGACCAATTTACCCAGGAAATATATATTCAGTTGTTTTAGAAGGTACTAAGGTGATTGAAAAATCTCTGGTGGTGCAGTGGTTAAGGCATTCAGCTAATAACTAAAAGGTTGGTTCGTAGTTTAAACCCACCAGATGCTCCACAGGAGAAAGATGAGGCAGTCTGCTTTCATGGAGATATACAGCCTAGGAAACTCTATGGGGGTAGGTCTAATCTGTTCTACAGGGTTGCTGTGAGTCAAAATCAACTTGATGGTAGTGGGTTTTTAAGGTAATTCGAAAGCATCATTATAAAAAATATAAACGAAAACACACAGGTATAAAAAGCACAAACTAAAATTCTATTGAAAATTATATGTATACAGCAACTATTTATAAAACCATATCTCTAATCTCTAATAAAGTCTAAAAAGACTAAATAAGCAGGTATTTAAGTCTGAGTGATTTAATTTTCAAGTCTGGACCTCCAGATATGCAGATCCTTATATAAGTCAGCATGCCTACAGATGAAACATTCACTTCCTCTCTGTATCTTAAAAGCCTCTGAGGCAGTACAAAGCAAGATGATAAAGCTCCTAACTTTCCGGGCAAATGAATTTTATCAGGTTTTTAATACACTGTCCCATATATCTACAAAGCTATACAGTATTGAAATAATAAAATTCTACTCTACCTGTAATTTCTTTTTACCTGTAGCAGTTTGCCCCATACATGCAGGATGTCCTTTTGGTCTTGTCTTCTTCAGAACCTTCTAGAACTGAAACAGTCACCTCTGCATGCGAAGTTTCAGGATTGGAGAGATCAGGTCCAGGTTCAGGATGAGATCCTTGGGACTCATCATGGGATGAATTACCTTGGTCACTCACTGCCTCGTCTTTTTTATTTGGTGTTCCTTTACTGACAATTCTCCGTTCAGAAATCTTATCGAGTTCTTGTACTGGGATTTTGTTTCTCTGTGTATTAGTCTTCAAATTATTCACCTCTGTGTTACTTAATGTGATGTCAGAAAATGACTGTGGTACTTCCTATAAAACAAATTAGAAATAAGAAACATTTTTTAAAAGAAATATATAAATTTTATCTCAAAAGATTGAAACTAAAATATTCATGTTATATGTATATTTTTAATAAAACTTTATATTTTAAAAACATTAAGATTCACATTTGAAAGTACTTTAAAATCACCACTATTTGCTATATTTCTCCTTTGAAAACTTTAAAAGATTTGAAGTTATTAGAAAATGAATTCATAGTTGTACAAAATCTTACAATCATGTCAAACACTCAGTGAAAAATAATCAGAAAGTACAAATGAAGACATGAGAAAAATATTTGCTTTCATTTAATCTTTCCCCCCAAAATTAAAAGGCTCTTAAATTTCAGTATTACACACTGTCTCATGCTTTTAACATGCACTATCCTTATAATAAATAGAATGACACTGGCTGCAATGATGGGCTCAAGTATAGCAAGGATTGTGAGAATGGCACACAAATGGGAAGTGTTTCACTCTGTTGTACGTAAGGTCACTATGAATTGAAGCTGGTTCAATGACACTTAACAATAACAACAAAAATATCCTTATATTTTCTTATAAGTTACATACAATACTTTATTTCCATCCTCTAAAAATACTGGTATTTTTCTATAACTGAATGATAAAATTGCTCCTCCCTCGCAGAAATATTTTGCATGAAGCTATGTTATGACTAACTGAGAAAGAAAGAAAGAAAAAAAATTACTCTTTTGAAGTGGTCTAAATAAAAGTTTCAATTTAACTAATTAAAGGTGTTTTGAACTAAGTAAATATTTTCATTACTACTGGAGAGTTATTTTAACTTGTAATTGTTGGTTTTAGGTGCCATCAAGTTCATTTTGACTCATGGCAACCCCATGTGACAGAGTGAAACAGCACTATTAGGATTTTCTAGGCTGTAATCTTTATGGAAGCAGATCACTACATTTTTCTCCAGTGGAGTCACTGGGGGTGTTCCAATGGCCAACCTTTTGGGTAATAACTGAACACTAAACCGTGCCACCAGGACTCCTTAATGTGTACTTACCACAATCCTAAGAGTAGGCCTAGTAATATACTATTAAAAATTAACTCCCAATTACAGAAAAACTCATATCCTCCTGGTAGCCATTTCTAGGATGTGATGACAGCACAGCAGAGACACACAAATGTTCACTCCACTTATAACTAAGGAACCATGTTTGCTAGCTGCCATCTGGAAGCACCTTGCTTTGGTTTATTTAATATCAAACAACTCAAATTTCTTGAGAAGGTACTCTTAGCATGACTTTTCTTTGCACTAAAAATTTAAATGTTTTGATTTTTTTTTCTTTGTTACAAAACATAGTATGTAACATTAAAACTAGCCAAACTGACTAATGACCTTATAAAATGAACCCAAGTGTTATCATGGCTCTTACTTAGTAATATAATGTTGTTAACTGCTGTTGAGTTGGACCCCAACTCATGACAATCCCATGCACAATGAGCAGAACACTTCCCGGTCCTGAGCCATTGCCACGATCAGGGAAGGATGAGCACTATGATTCTTATGCTTTACTCATTGTTTGATTTTCACCAGGCCTTCCTTCCTAATTCATCTTAGTCTGGAAGCTCTGCTAAGTCCTATTCAGTATCACAAAAACACACAAGCCTCTGACAGAAAGGTAGCTGTCCATAAGGTGTATTGACTGGGAATTGAATCTGTACTTCCCACATGGAAGGTGACCATGTTACCACTGAAAAGAAACACCAATACCCCACTACAGTAATATACGACCTATGAGAAATATAACCATCCAACTTTCTCTTGCAGCTGACCCTCAGCTGATGACATTCATGCCACATCCCTCTAAATCATACAGTCTTTGCTCTCCAACTGCAGTCATCTTGACTAGACCTCAGTTTTACCACCCTCTGCATTATAGAAACAACTGAAATATGCCAAGGATTCTGAGATGGGAATGGGGCAACAGTGACTGGAATGCCAAAGTTGGAAACAAAGAAGAATCACCAGTAGTTGGGAAATTTGGCCTTGGTGACAGAAATAATGCTGGAACTCTCATGGTAGAATTTTGCAAGACTTATTCATTGCAAACACCTTTTTTCAACAACACAAATGATGGCTCTACATGTAAACTTCACCAGATGGAACACACATGAATCAGATTGACTACATCCGTGGGAAGAGGCGGTGGAAAAGCTCAGTATCTTCAGCCAAAACCAGGCCAGGAGCTGATTGTGGAACAGACCATCAACTGCTCATATGCAAGTTCAACTTGAAGTTGAAGACAATTAAAA